CGAATGTTTTTGATGAATCCATAAGAGTTGTAAGTGTACTAATTAATGGTTATGTAGCTCTGGAATTTCAAGTGGGAATCCAAAGAAATTTCCTGGGAACGACATTTTCTTTGACAAGGTTATATTCGTCTCTGCTCTACGCTCGCTCGTTATGGCCAAGTAATTCTTCTACACACACTTGCTTCTTTTACGAAATTTAATTACAAATTCCATGACGATTGATATCTTTTTGTGGTTGGTAGGCATTTCGAAGGTTTTAAGCAAGGAAAGATGCTTAACTTTATTTTCACTTCAGTACGAGCGGATATTTTAAGAACCGGAAACAAAATGCAACAAGTCCAGTCCAAGTCTTATTGTGTTCAGATGCCTAGCAGAGTATGTACTGTCAACCTCTCTGTGGTCTTGTCCAGAGAGATGAGGTTTTAAGTGTTGGTGCTATCTTTGTTTCTGTCTTGGTTCAAGCAATCCATTTTCTTGAGGATTACTGGAAAGAGTTGTCTAGTAATATCAGGTTTGGTCGTGTTAGCGAGTGGATCACTGACCTTAGTTGTAGAGACTCTGGCTCTATGATCCTTGGAGAACCAAATCCTGATTTGGCTGATCTAATCGAACACAAGTGCGGACAGCAATCTTCAGAAGGTATTATTTCACGACTTTGGCCTAAAACCAAATTCATCGAAGGTATTGTTACAGGAAATTTGGCTCAATATATCCCAACATTGGAGTTCTACTCTAATAAATTGCCTATAGTTTCCACAACTTATGCGTCTTCTGAAACATATTTCGGGATAAATGTGGATCCTCTAAGCAAACATGTACCTAACGCTTATTGAAACACTAGTTAAGATATATGCCATTGGTTTCTTTCAAGCCCCTTGAAGAAAAGACTTCAAGAAAATGATCAGTGAAGAAAAAAACTAATTAGAGCATTTGATCAATGGTGACTCAAAATGGAACCCAGTGATTCTCTGTGCTATACACCTTAATCTGTTTGGTTACTGTTGCGAAATAGATCAATGAGTTTGTTCCAGATTTTGAACCTCAAAGCGGAGGCTTCATCGGGTTTAAACCACTTCTTGTGAATCTGGAGATGGAGAGACAAGACAACAAGTTGTGTTAACAACGAAGTGTTTA